ATGATCTCAGGAGAGAAAATGATAATTTTGGAGTTTTGTTGATTAAGACATATTTTAAGTCATATTCAAAGAGTTTTGTTAAAATGGGTTATATTTGGACTTTGTTTTGGTCAATTTTAATTTTTATTGAGTTAAATTTTAATTTTTTTAAATTAAGATTTAGCACAAGATTCAGCTCAAGTGTGATTCAGTTCAATGCAAGCCAAAAAAAAGGATTGACCAAAAAAAGAGGTCAACATTCACACATTAATAATGAACCAAATGTAGCTTATATAATAAAATCCCAAGCACTACAATGATTTGAAGAAAAAAAATGATAATTCCTAGGAATAAAAAGTGATAATTTCAAGTAATAAAAATGATAATTGTTTTTAGTATTTCATTGACTTAATTATATTTTATTTCCATTTTATGTGTTTTATTTCAAGTTTGTCTCAAAGAATTGAAGTGAATGAGATGTTGAACAAAAGTGAGGTTAGCATGCAATTGATTAGATAAACTACACTGCATAAAGCATCGACCTAAAAGTGTAAAGTAAATGTGCTTAAAGAACTGATGTTTATGTAATTTTTATAAGATGTCATTATTTGTGTTCAGAGTTGTCATTTTAGATGAAGTATAAAGACAACTATATTGTTGGACAATACCATTATTAATGAAAAATTATCGAAGGGTTTGGCCGGTATACTCGCCACCACCAAGGCACCAACAATGCAAAAACCTTTAATTTTTTTGTTGATCCAATTTTTCACTACTTTGAAAAATTGGATGGATTTTTGTGTGGTGTCAGATTTATGTAGCTTGGATTATAGCCAAGAAAGATTGGAGTGAATATTAGTAAACGAACTATAAAGTAAAAATTGTTAGTATATTGCAACTAGGGAATGACCCCAGACGTCTAAGTGTAAGTTCAAATAGTTGATATGAATAATTACTTTATGTTAATAACCAAAGCCAGTGACTTCATGTGGAGTTACATAGATTAGAATGAAACTTCCTATGCTTAAGAGTGGATTTTGAGTATTTTGAGGATTTATATCTATTACTTGTCATGTATTGTAATGTGGATTTAGAGTGGGTTTAGTCTACAATATCCTTAGAGTATTTTGAGGGAATTGGAGAGGTGCCATCAAGGATGAATTTGAACCCATTAGCTTTGAATAACTTGGGAAGTTGAGAATGCTAAATGGTGTAATTAACTATAGTGGTAAGAGAACTAGATATTAGTTTGATTATGGCATGAGGAATTTGAGAGATAAATGGATGATCTTCTCTGCCATTATAGAAAAGGAAGGGTTCTCAATTCGACTGTAGTTGGGGGAGAAGAATCAGATATGGTTAAGGATAAAGAAAACATGTAAGACTGTTGTTTAGTAGAAAAAATAGGAGGATTGTTGTGAAGCTACGGGTGCTTCGATATCATGAAGACAATATTGAATAAAAGAACTGAGTAGCAACATGATGGGAAGGAGGAATTTCCTTCAATATATCTTACATATTAATTTTTTACATGTATGTATATAATCATCTATAACTATGTCTAGAGATTTCCATGTAACAAACATTAATGTAGAGCCGAGTTATTATTAAAATGCTGTTAGGAAGGAGTGGGTTTATTGGACTAGCATAAGTTATTAAATCTCACACAATTATGATATTCATCAAAATATTTAATACATAAAAATTGATTATAATCCTAAAAAATCTATATAAACAATCAAATAGTGTTAAGAAAATTAAGCTAAGATTTTTAAAATATTATAAAAATAAACCTCCTCATTCTTCACCATACATTAGAAAGAGCTTATTGGTCATAAAAAAATTTAGATCACTATCCAAATATCAAAGTCAAAAATTGTTGCCCCAATATCATCAAATTACAATCATCAGCTAACATAACCCAAAATAGCTACTTGAATATGATTGTCCACTTATAATTATCTATCTATCTCCAAATCACCATTGTCTCCTTGTAGTCACTGTTGGAATATCCTCACATGACAAGTGCCTCCTATCCACTATTATCTACATACAAAATTAACATCTATTGATTTACTATTTTCTTTTGATCAAGTCTCAAAAGGCATTAAACACTTTTAACATATTGGAATATTTAAAAAATTTAATCAATGGGATCTTAAAAAATATGATCTTTTTTAAATTTCTCTTATATGTGCATACACAATATGACATAATTTTCTATATTTTAGGATTACAAGAAAAACTAAAGTCTTTTGGCACCAACTTTGAACCACTTGCCCAAGAGCCACTATCTGCCCCCCATTTTAGGATAGCCACAAAATTAAATTTAAAAAGTCCATGTACTAAACTGCCAAAAGCCGCCGATCACAATCTCCGTAAATAAAACCCGTGCCCAAAACAATTCCCACACAAAAAGCTCTCCCCCTCTCCCTCCTCCTCACAACTCCGCCGCCCGTCAATGCCTCGCCGGCCGAAACACCGCCGCCTCAACTCCGTCACCATTGACACCTCAGACGCCGGAAAATCAGACTACAGAGATTCCCAACCTCTTCTTCCCGGTCTGCCTGACCACCTCGCACAACTTTGCCTCTCCCTCGTCCTCCCCTCGCTTCTCTACTCTGTCTGCCGATCATGGCGCCGTCTCATCTACTCCCCATCCTTCCCCCCATTCCTCTCCCTCTACGCCATCCTATCCCACAGAAACCCCTTTCCCGATTCATCCAACTCCAACCACCACCACGACAACGAAGACGATCCAATCGGCCTTTATTCCTTCGACCCGATCTCTGGCTTCTGGTCCCAGCTACCGCCCCCAAATTCCCCTCTCCGTCGTATCCGAATTGACCATCCCTCTTTCATCTCTAGATCCCTCCCAATCCAATCGGTCGCCACTGGTGGCCACCTCGTCCTCGTCGCCGCATCCAACGTCCATCTTCTACCTGCTCTCCCCCATCCCCTAGCCTTCCACCCTCTCTCCCGCCGTTGGATCCTCGGCCCCCGTCTCCGCCATCCCCGCCGTTGGTGCGCTGCCGGATCTGCCTCCGGTGCCGTTTACATCGTTAGCGGCGTCGGCTCCTCTTACCGATCCGACGTCGCTCGATCTGCAGAGCGTTGGGAACCTTCCCGCCGCTCCTCGTCCAGCCGCTGGGAGCCGATTGCGTCCCTCCGGGACGGACGGTTTAGCCGTGAGGCCATCAATGCTGTAGCCGCAGGCGGAAAGCTCTGCATGGTGAATGTGGAAGGAAGGGGGGCGAAACAGGGGTTAGTATATGATATTGAAAAGGATGTGTGGGAAGAGATGCCATTAGGGATGCTCGCCGGTTGGACAGGTCCGGTGGCATCGCCATCGCTGGCGGAGGATGGGGATATGTACGTGGTGGACGAGGTGAGCGGGGAGGTGAGGGCGTATAAGTGGGGGGAGGACCGGTGGAAGGTTGTGGCTGAAGCTTCGGAGGCCCGGCAAGGGGCAGTAGTTGCGGCTGTAGGAAGAGGGAAGATGTGCGTGGCGGTGGCCGGCGGAGGAGCGGTAGAGGTGCTGGATGTGGGGCGACCGGGAAAGGGGAAGACGTGGTCCGTTGAGGTACCCAAGGGGGGAAGAGTCATCGCCCTCCATGTTCTCCCGCGGATGACAGATGAGAAATCATGACCGTTGGATTTTGGAAAGGCTGCCTTTTTTCAATTATTATGATAGCGTGTCGCGGGAGACAGTTCTGGACATTGAATGCGGGCAGCATGAGGAGGGCGGATGGGGAAAGCGACAAAAATGGGCTTTCCGGTTTGTTATTGATTTATTTTATATTTATATATTTATTTTTTTATATAAATTAATTGATGGTTTGTTGGAATAATTAAGAAATGCGATTTGTTCATGGTGTGTTTATAAATTTCACATGATGAAGTATTTTTTCCATATGTATTTTTAAATTTCACATGAGTATTTATTTACATAATTATATTACAATGTTGAAATCCAAATTTATCTAGGAATCATATCCAAAAATTAGAGACAAAAAAGATGAAGAAATAAATAATAAGTAATCTTGTTATTCTTAAAATATTTCTTCTATTTATGGATGATAGGATATAATGAGTATATTACATTTTTTTTTCTCATGTTTAAAAGAGGTTCATATTAGGATATTTCTGGTGTCTTACATGTGTAAGCTTATTTTCTAGCTGCTTTCTGGCTTGAGCGGCTAAGCTTAGTTGGTTGTGGGTTGAGTGGGTAAGCTAAGTTGATTGAGCTTGGTCGGTGTGGATCGATTGATTGATGCAGCTTGCATGCCAATCTTTTTATCTGTAGTGAGGAGCTTTTGGAGCATTCTCGGGACAACTGGAGGTATTGTGGAACTGAATTTTCACTTGAATCAGCTCTAATGGAAAGTAGGCTATCATGTTGGGTCAACTTAATTGCAGTGGTTGGTCCAGATGCTCTTTTGTCTCGTTTCTGGTCGAATTATCCATACTTGAATAATGTAGTCATCTTTTTATCTAATTGGCTTGGCTCGTATGGCTTAGCTCAGTCGGTCAAGTGAGCTTTGTGATCTCCTTATAGTGGGTCATGTACCCCACAATGATTATGCAACGTGCTCTGGTCTTGCGGTTTCAAGAATTCCTCTCAAACACTCTAGACCTATTCCAAACAGTTGACAGATACCAATTGATGGATTTGAAGATTTCACACTTGCAAGCATCACTCCTCTTGGAGGCAGAGGGTAAATTGGCCAAGGCTAAAGCGAAGGTTAAAGCCATGGAGGTACGACCTAAGGAGGCTAAAGAGCAGGCTGTAGCAGTTGAGAAGCAGTCGAAGGGAGCCAAGGCTAAGGTGCTCAATCTTTCAGAGTTGTTGTAAGTTGCTTAAGGAGAAAATGAAGCTCTAAGGGAATAAATAGTTATGATGAAGATGGAAGAAGAGTTCATTCTTCAGCTTCCCTCCCATCTCATCAAGTGGTGGCCTCCGCTAAGTAGATCAGGCTTGGGACCACTTTGGCAATTAACTAATTTGTAAAGGCAAAGCTCATCGACTCCATGTGGTCCAATCTGAATGAATTTGCTACCCTGCTCTCGGGTCGGAAGAAGAGCAAGATGAAGATGATAAAGATGAGGATGAGAGCGTTGAAGGCATGGAGGGCCTGGGCCTTCAAACGTTTGACTCAATCGTTTGACTCAATATGGGCTTCGTCTGTAAATTGAAGATTTTTTTTTTCCTTTTTAAAAACTTTTAAAAAAAAAGCATAGTGAACTCTTTTGTAAAGAAATTTTTGTAAGTTTTCAATCATGAAATAAACAAAGTTTTTGATTGATTTTCACCTTCATCTCTTATTTGTTTATCTTATTGTATTTTTAATTTGTGATGGCCAATGCTTTGATTGTTTGAGAATGTCTTTGGTCAGTTTTGTTGGATTATCACTCGGCACAAGTATTACACTCGCTCGATTTGGTCGTTGGCTTAGACTGGCCTCACCTTATGTCAGACATATTAAGTGGATTTTATCACAATCTTCACAAGAGTAACTATTGAGACTTATTGTTGGGGTGATTCATACACTACCCACTGCAGATTTTGTAGCTAATAGGTAGGAAACTACTACCATAGCTTGACTTATTTCAAGTTAGAGGACATAGATTTTTATTGATGCTTGGGCATTGTTAGTTCTAGTGTAATTTTTTTATTTGATGTTAATCATTGTTTTTAATCAAATTTAGAGGATTTTAATCGATCCGACATTTGTTCATCATTATAAGTTTTAGACAATTTTTTATCAATCAGATGCCTTGCGCCGTTGTCAATTTTACTGATCGAGTGAAACCACTGTTGGCAAAACAGTTTGGGTTTCCTCAGTGTCAGTCAAACTTTGACGATCCATAGCGTGACATTATCGAGTTCTCAAGTGTTGGTTGGACCTAGGATCGTATGCAACATATTATTTAATAATTTCTTCACCAAACAAAGTATAATGATTTTGGGACGATGACGTTTTAGATACCAAATATTTTTTAAGGAAAAAATTTATTCAACCCATCTCCACTCCACCTATGAGGGACACATTTTCCTATGTAGGTCTTTAAATTAAATGTCATAGGGGTGGCCAGTTTGTCGACGATGAAAGGCTTGGTCCACGTTTGATTCAGCTTCTCACAACTTGTCCTCATGTGCTGGATTGTCTTTCTCCGACACGGAGTCCCTAGGGGTGAAGGTCTTCTCTCGACATGTTCGTTGTAATATCGAGCCATCCTCCTCTTTAATTCTTATAGCTGAAGGGCCGAATCAACTCATTTTTCTTCAGCTAGGTCGAGCACGAGCTTTACTTATCACTCAATCAATTCTGATTCATCGAATGTCAAGGTGGTTACCATCATACTACTATGATGGTAGTACTTAACTAGCAACATTGCCTCTAATCCCATGTGACATCATAAAATGGGTATGCACGGTCGCCGTAGAAGTTGTAGTTTGAACCACTCAAAAAATAGATGGGAGAATCCATGCCTTGTTCCTCGTGGCTCCTTCAATTTTCTACCTCAATAGATTCAAAAAATTTTGCTTGGTTGCCTCAGCTTGTCCATTTTTCCTAGGGTGATGCACTAATATTAATTTCAAGCTGATTCCTTAGCTTTGGCAAAAGTCCATTACTCCTTGATTGACAAATTGTGTCCCATTACGGTGATGATGGTAATCCATAACAATAGAATACGTCCAAACTTTAGTCAACCTCAGATGTGATATGAGCAAGCACCTTGGCTTCAATCTACTTAGAAAATTAATCTATCACAATCAATCAAAATTTGTACTTGCCTCAAGACATGGGAAAGGGCCAGAGAATGTGAAGTCCCCAAATGGTGAACGTTCATATGCTGGCGATGGGTTGTAACTTATGTGCTGGATAGTGTTGTTGTGATGCATATTTCTTACATTGCTCACTTCCTGGAGAACTCCTCTGCAATTTTCAAAATTATTGGCCAAAAGTAACTCTGCTGCTGCACTCAGTAAGCCAAAGTCTTCTCTCTGGATGACTCTCGTATTCCCATGAGTGCGCCTCTTGAAGTATTTCTACGGCTTCATTTTCTTTTATACACCATATATATAGTGACGTGACTAATCTCCAGAAAAGCTTTCCCACAATTTAAAGATATTCAACATATTTTATTTTGAATCTTCATTGGTCATAATTTCCTCTAATATATTTCTAATTCCAAGATATAGGATCTAAAGGTCATTTAGCTAGTTGGCCCTTAAATGTTCATCTATATTATCTTGGCTTCTTTAATGTTCAATTGGAGATAAGTCTTTGGGGCATTGCTTCACGCAGGTCGATGCACTTGGATAAGAGGTCCGCTTCTTGACTATGCTTCTAGGCATTGTGCTTAATTTTAAAGCCTTCAACCTTCCCAATCACCATATTTAATTTTCTCAAGTACTTAGCCATCATATCATCTCAGAACTCAATTACTAGTTTATTTGATTTACAAATAGTTGTGAGTTGGATTTTACATGGAAATATTGAGCACCCATCTCATAAGAAAAATTTGGTCTACCAATTAATTTTTCATATTTGGTACAGTTGTTAGTGATCTTTAATTCGACCTCAATCGAATGGTACAAGTCTTCCCTAATCTAACTAGTCAATGCAAGATTAAGTCCCTCTCTTTTTTAGATTGAAGCTCAATCAATATAAAATTTCCATGTTCATTCATCTATAGCTACTCCTCTGCTCGGCTTGCTTAGTTCAAAAAAAAATTATTAGGAAGCAGGCTATAACTTGTGATTTGATCACAATACAGGGCACATTTTTACTAAGCTCCACCACCCATTTAAAAAGTGGACCATAATTCTCTAACCAAGTGTGAACAAGCTTGAGTGGATGAACAATTCTAACCTTGAATGGATGTGTTTGGAAGTATGGTTGAAGCCTGAGAGCAAAACTGATGAGGGAAAATGTTAGTTTCACCATAATATAGTACCTGAGCTCGACGTCTTGGAGGACTTGGCTTATGTAATAGACCTGTAACTATTTCCCCTCCTCTCTAACTAAAACAAAATGAATGGCCTCAGATCGAACCCCTTAATATAAGGAAAGTTATTTGTTCAACTTCGGGCTCTTGAGGAGTGATGGTGATGTTAAGGACTATTTTAGCTTTTTAAATGCCTGCTCACATTATTTTGACCAAACAAAGTTTTTTGCTCATCTTAGCACTTTGAAACATGCTTCACACATATCCCCAAACTTAGAGATGAATCGACTCAAGCATGCGATCCGACTGGTTAGCGTTATAACTTCTTTATGTTTCGAGGGCATGACATGTCAAGTAGTGCTTGAACCTTTTCTAGATTGGTTTTTATTCCCTCTTGGGTAAGGAAGTAGTGCAAGAATTTCCATGTTCATGCCTTGAAGGTGATTGAATTGAGTCTCATGTTAAGCATTTAAAAAAAAAAAACTCTTTTATGTGTTACTCAGCTATTTTGTTTTTAACTAGTACATCATCCACAAAAAGTTCAATATTTTTTTCCTTTCTACTTAGAAAAAATTACATCCATCATTCATTGGTATGTAGCCCTAACATTTTTCACCTCGAAGTTGCATTACATTGTTGACCACATTTTTGGCATGAGGTCTGTCTCATCCTTGCTCTCTAGAGCCTATGATCTAGCCTTAGAGTTTGTTTAGTAGCTTTCTTAGAAGAATAGTGAATAAATCAACACCAGAATATAACTTCAAAGTACTTCTTCTTTCCTTAGTGTTTCATAGGCCTCACTTCAATCCTTAACCCTTGGTTGGGATGATTAAGGTTAGGTTATTAAAGCTTAAATTGAGTTCCCATAGGAGTGAAAATGTCTCAAGTCGTTTTCTGACCCTATAGACTTAGGTCTTCCATTGGTCTCTCTCACTTAGGCACTTTGCATCTCTCTTTCACAATTTCTTAGACAATTCTTTACTTATGGAGAGCTCATTCGGTATGAGGTTCACCATGAACTAAGATTGGGTTTATCTCTTAAAAAGTATCAATTTAAAAAAAAACATTTAAAATTAAACTTCAAAATTCAAGCACAAACTAAAATTAAACCAAAATTAAAGCAAATTCATCAAAAATTTCAATGTAACCCAAAATTAAAATCAATAAAATTAAAATTAAATTGAATTGAAATCACTTACTAAAAGAAAAAAAATTAAATTCACTGAAGTTAAATCACAAATTTAAAGTATGAAGTAAATTAAACAAAAATAAAATTAAAATTCATTCATAAATCAACAAAAAGTCAAATTAAAAAAATTATAATTAAATCCATTAAAAATCAATTTCAACAAAAGTTAATATATTTGATCCACAAAAAATTAATTTCAACTAAAACCAATATAATTAAATTCAATAAAAATTAATTTCAACTAAATGTAATAAAATTAAATGCATTAAAGATAAATTTAAAAATATTCAATAAATTTGAATTTAATGAAAATTAAAACATTAAAATCAAACTCAAAATTTTTATAAGTAAATCAAAATGAAAAATTAAAAGAAACTAAAATCATCAATGCACCCATCCTACAGGAAAATTTCTAAGTTCATAAAAATTATAAAATTCAATCTAACTGAAAAAAATCAATTTTAGGCAAATTGAAAAATCAACCTAAAATTAAAACCCATAAAGTCGTTAATCAATTAAATCAATTTGAATCAAAACCAAATGTAAACAAATTCATCCAAATTAAAATTTAATCTAATCAAATTCACCAAAATCATGAAATTGAATTAACTAAAATACCAATCACCAACTTTAAAATTAAAAATCCAAAATAAAATCAACTCTTCAAAATATAAAACTTATTTAAATCAAACTAAAATTAAACCAATCTCATGTCATGGTAAACCCAAAGCATAAGCCAACCAAAAGTCAAAACCCACCTAGCCTAAACCTATGCCTCATGACCAACTCACAAAATTTTGTCATGACAAATCAATCATGAGCCATGTTAAGCCTCATGCAAGCCAAAGTCGCCTTTAGCCAAATATGAGCCACCCTCCACACAAATTTTGGACTTTCCAAAAAGTAGATTCATCCCTATGACACACCCAAAAACCAAGATAAACCCACATCCTCATGACCATGACATGGCCCCAT